GCATATGGGTACATCTACATATCTAAGGGGTTATCCGCTTAAATAAGCGACACATGATCTTGTTCTGGACACATCAGGCTGGACTCTGATGCCGGACCTTTTCTAGATAGAAACCAGACTCCTTCTGGACCATGACATCATTCTGACATCATAGGTAGGAGCTAGGCTCAGGCACTAGGCCATAGGCCGGTCAATTCTGGACCCTAGGCCCAGGGCAGGGCAGGGCCAGACTATGACATCATATATGACATCATAGAGCACATGATACTTAGTAATCCTTACCCAGCTAGGTACCAGGGGTCCATTACCGGTCCCTGGGGGGTTTTCCCTCATGTATATAAGGCAGCATCCTGGGGCACCCTGTCCCCCAGTTCTATTCACTTCGTTGTTGCGCTTAACAGCATTACCTCCCCATACTTAAGTGCTATTATCTCCCCCCCTCAATATCAAGCTATAAGGTGGGTTTGTAGGTTTTGTGATATGTTCAGCACACTACGAGAAACCCAGTGCTGCTACTGCCAGTATACGAGTGAGGAGAGGTGTCGAGCCAAAATAGGAGAACCTCCCCATTGGTGCGTGACTTAAACATCTCATTGTCATTACTGGGTTGTACGGCTTACTAAAGTGGTGATATAAGGTTCAACACGTATGGAACTAACAAAGGTAGTGTAGGGTAAATAATTCATCGGTGTGTAAATTACCGTTTTTTACAGACCCAGGTTTTGGGACCCCGTTTTTTACATGGTAAAAAATGTAAATTACATAAATCACGGGACTATTTGCGCTTCGGCACGTGACACCCTCCGGTGTGTAAAAAACAGTAAAAAAGGTAGAAAAATGTAAAGATATGTTAAAAAAAGCTCCAGGGAGCATTCATATCGCATGCAAGGGCAGAAAGAGTATCTAGCATATGCTACAGACTACCTACACATCCTAATTGAACTCCCATAACACCTTGCCAAGTTGCCATCTTCTGCCTCATTTACATTTACTAGCTCCTCCTAAATATCCATGCAGCCGCTGTGGCTTCAAGTTCCCAGCCCTAGATGATGGGGGCGATTGTAATGGGCGAGATGAAGAGCATGAGCCATTATGATGAGAGAGGACCAAGAGGTTCACGAACAACAGGGGCAGAGGCCCGAATACTGGTGTTGGCTCGACAAAGAGATACATTCGAACCATTCTAAGAGATTCTAAGTACCTACGGCTAGATCCGAGACAGCGCGGCTAAGTCCGAAAAGGTGAGTCAGAACTTGTATTACGTTCGAGCAGAGTCCGTTGATATCTACAGAGACCGTGTATAAGTATGTAGACTACAAAGATACAAAGAGTAGCTCACTGAAGCAGTGTTGACAAAATAATAGCCCGGGGTGCAAGGCATTGGCCCAATTGGCGGCTGAACGGGGGTACACAGCACGTGACACACCCTTATTTACATTATTTACACCTCTATTCAGACAGCCCTGTAAAAAAGTGTAAATTACTTGTAAATTACCTGTAAAAAAGTACGGTGTAATTTACGCTGATTTATTTGCCTTACACTAAACAAAGGCGAGAGACTTGTGGCCGATCCTAGCACACGTGACAAGGAGGGCCGTTAAAAGCGGGCGCAGCCACAATGATCCTTCTACATTCCGACCACCACTGACGACAGGACACATTATCCTCTTCACCTATGGCTACTGAGCGAGCACTAGCAATCCCGGAGATCGTCTCCCACATCTTTTGCCAGTTTACCTTCCGTCCACCGAATGAGGCTCGCTGGCGACATAATAAAACGCTGGCACGATCAGCACGCGTCAGCAAGTCTTTCATGGGTCCAGCTTTGGACGCGCTCTGGAATCATCTCGATTGGCTTCATCCACTTCTACGACTACTCTCCGCATGCAAGCTAGTCCTCTTCACTGACGAAGAACTGAGGGGGCTTATGCCTTTCGTCCACCCAATGTTGGAACCGAAGCACGTATGGGTTCGTCGTCGATTGTTGAATGCGGCCCTCTATTCATTCTGACATGACTGAGCCATCTTAGATTTTTGACGGCGACATCTGCGCTCTGGAGTGGGAGCGATTCGAGACATATGCGCGGCGCGTCCGCTCTATGTCGCTGGAGCTAGACGGTAGCGTTGGTCCATCGGTGTTTGCGGCTCTGGCACGCCATAACGGGCGCCGTCCTCTTTTTCCTCTGCTCCGCGAATTATCGTGGATGCAGTGGATGCCGGCATTCGACGGCACTCACCAAATGTTGGCTTCTCCCCATCTGCGTGAACTCCATATCGACATTCTGGTCTATCCCGAGCGCAAAACCCAACAAGAGTCTTTGGATATTCGGCTTAAGCGCCTTCTTGAAGAGTTTTCTCGCATATCGCCTAATATCAAAAAAGTTTACCTGAATGGCGGGTTTAGACGCTGTCCTTCGGTTGGAGGGTTCAAGTACCTACGCTGCCTGCAAGTCAGCGCAGAGACATCGTGCATCGTCAATGACGCATCCTTGAAATCTCTTTCGGGCCTAGAAGACCTTGCGGAGCTTTCTCTCTCCACGGCCACTACACTGAGGATCCCGCCAATCAGTCAAGGATTTGTCGCCTTGACAAGCCTTTGCTTGGTGTTCTGCAACAAGCCCGCGATGCTGTTCTTATTCACAACAACGTTCCCTCGCCTTCGATCCATCGCGATAAGCTATCGCCCTAGATTTTTCATGAAGCTTGACGGTTGCCGGAAATTCATTGAAGACATAGCGAGGGCCTGTGCCAGGCTTCCTTCCCTTCGCAAATTGTGTATTGAATTCGACTTTGATGATGGATTCGGAAGGGCACCACCCTTCCTCGACATTGTACGGCCGCTTTTGTCGCTCACAGCACTCGAGGATGTCGAGATCAGGTGTGAACACTGCTCAATGCATGTGAAAAACAGCGATCTTCGCGAGGTGGCGCAGGCTTGGCCGCGACTGACACGTTTCTCATTGGCTATATCAGCGCTTGACTATCCTCTCCTCCCGACTGTCGACTGTCTGGTTTCATTTGCTCGGGCCTGCCCTAGCCTGAAACAGTTGGTCCTGCCCTCTATGGCACACTCATTACCAAGAGCTCGCGATATGATTATGGTTCCTGCTATACCGGCGCATGGTCTGCAAAGCCTGGAATTCATGACCAGACCAAAGGTCTTAGTCGATCTCGACGTAGACTTCGCTCATTGTCTGAATCGCCTTTTCCCGAAAGTCTCGCTCTCGTGCAGTGCCGTGGACTTCGAGAGGCAATATTTTGCAGATGGTCACATGGCTCCTAGCGTCCTCAAATGGGACACACTGGTTCACGAAGTGGCTAGATTGCAGTCTACCAGCCGGCGTGATACTCAACAAGGTACAAATGACCCCGACGATGATCCAGAGTATGGTTGCCTGCAGACTGGTTGCATCGGGGATGTCGAGCAGCAAAGATAATAAGAGGTATCCACGACGCCAGCGAAATATATCAGTGTACTATGGTGTACAACTATGCCTGCAGCGCTCGCTAATGAGACTAGGACTTTCTAAGGTCTGTAGAAATAGGGCGGCTCCTATTCTGGTTAGTACCTTGGACTTTTCGGTTGCTTTCAGTTGACAAGCTCTAGAGCTGTCCTTCTTGCTTACCTACGCTGTGTCGCGCGAGTGTTGATACTTTCCGTCATTTCTGTTGTCGGGCTTTTGTAGTATAAAACCGACCATGACGCCAAGAAATTCAACTTTCCCTCTTGACCCCTCTTTCACTCTACTCGCTTGCTAGTGCGGACGAGCGACCCACGTGTATGCTAGGTGAGAACTCCGTCGTGTTTACCAGCGTATTCGTACTTTCGTTGGCTAGCCCGGACGTGCGATCAGACTGCCGCGCACATCGCACATTGTGCTTGTATTAGTAGTTTCTATCTATCATCTTGGTAATCCTCGTCCCGTGTTTCGTGCGTTGCGGTCTATGATGCATATACCCCTGAATGTTGCGCATATACTCGTCACATCGTAATGGCCGTGGATCCTCACTTCTCCTACTTCACTCCAGCCCTCCTCTTCGACATCTGACCACCGTACACACTGCAGTGGGCTTTTCTACAACGACCTGTGTCTAAGACTCACAATAGCAGAACCAAGAAATTGACATGCTGTGGACCTAAGTTTCCCATTACGACAGTGTTTTGTCTCAGTTACAACGCAGACGTGTCTGGAACGCGCTTACAGTATTAACAGTGTTCGTACACCGCATCCATCCCGAGTCCTAATTGTGAAAGTTCATCCGAGACCCGAAGTGAGAATGACCAACGAAGATATATTGTAACGGGCGAGACGAAGAGCGTTTCGACGAGAGAGGACCGAGGGGTTCGCGAACACCAGTATCCGAGCAGCATAAGGGAAAATGGGATCACGTGGAGGGTTACTCCATTTGAAGGTGGTGTTCCCACCCCACCCCCTTAAGTGCTATCACCACGATCATTGCAAACAGCGCAGCCGTCATCCCTGATACAAACGTAGGCAGCCGAAATGAGCGCGAGGTGTGTCCCGCCAGCTGTGTTCTCTCGCGCCTCTCGCGCACCGCGTTTGCCCGTGCGCTGAAGCCGTTTGCGAGTAGCATAGGTATGGCTCCTACCTTCTCTCTTCGGCCCGCACGCTCCCGTTGTGGCACACAGTGCACCCTACGGGCTACAGTATCCCGGAGCTGGGTCTCGACTTGTCACAACCATGGCAGCGGGCGGGCAAGACACCCGTGTACGGTTTACTGGCAGTGCTACCCGCCTGGTAGCGGAGTTTATACTTCATCCGGAATGCTACAGGTGGGAGGAAACCACATTACATGGCTCTACTGACAGCTCGCGATCCGGCTTATGGTGCCACGTACGTACCATCGTTCTCCATGAGACTTTCCACTGTCGTGTATCGCGAGACGACTCGCGCCTCATATGCTGCACGCAGGAGGTGCACCACGGGCACTCGGCTGCGGACAGCATACAATTAACAAGATAGGCTCGTATGGCACAGGTATCGCTGCAACTGGGTACGGATCGTTTTACTTGCCTTTTGCAGAAGGAGTCGCATCAATCCCTTCCTTCTTCCGAGTCGGGGTGTGTCGGTGCCTAAATGTTAATCATTCTCGACTGCAGCCTGTCAGCCGTAGTATCAAAGTGCGCGCAGAATCATTAGCAGAATAAGAAGCGTCTTCCGTGTAGCGGTATCTACGAAGAACCGGCACACGGATAGCGGCGGAACCCAATGTGCTCATTTGCAATCAACCCCGTCTATTCACGATGGGAGTTCCGCTGGAGCATGGGTGATGCCTGTGCCTTTGTGACGACGGCCGACGTCCACGCCTTTGTTTCTCCATCCAGCTATGCGCACTATTTGTCGTGGTTCTAGGACATGCTGCCGGCATACGCGCCATCGGGAATGTATTGCAAGGTTAATATCCATCTCGGATGAGACGGTGGGTGTGCGTTGTATGCTGATTAACGCTGAGTCCTCTTCGCTGACCGTGCTTCACGTATGAAGTATGTACTTTGACAATGCATGCTTCGCCGCCGGCTTTCTGGATGTTCCAATCAGCCAAAGGAGCCAATTCCAGACCGCAACATCGCTCATTCCGGCCGGATACAGTACCCCGAGGTGTTTTTGAACAGCGATCTGCGGTAATTGTAAGTTCTCGAAACGATGACTGGTACCATTTGTCATGCTGTTGATTTGCTAACGATTATGCTATGTGAACGTGCGGCCCGCCAGCCCGCCACCGCTACTTAAGCTAACTCGAGTTGATGCTGCAACGCCACGGCTACATCCACGATTAGCAGAACCCGGTGGAAGGATGGACATCTCAACCAATGAGCTGGCGGCTCTTACTGTTGTCTTGCTTGCCACCGGGATGCTCTTCTACGCTAATAGCACCCGGCGTGCCCCATTACCGCCTGGGCCCCGTGGTCTCCCGCTCCTCGGCAACCTGTTCCAGTTCGACGTGATGCGCCCCTACCCCCAGGTATGATGATCATGGGTCTGTATGTCTTGGCCTATCGCTACTAACAGACGCGACGCGCAGTATCTTAAATGGGCACAGAAATACGGCCCTGTCTTCTCTGTCAAACTGGGCGGTCAGCGCATTATCGTGCTGAACAGTTCCGAAGCGGCGGACGAACTGCTCGCCACCCGCAGCAAGCTGTATTCGAGCCGCGAGTCCCCGCACGTCGGGTTTGACCTGGTGAGCGACCAGCAGCGGATGTTGTTCATGCCGTATGGCAGAGAGTGGAAGGTCTGCCAGACATACTTTCTATCATCCACGGTTCGAGCTCACCTGTCGGCCGCTCTGCGCTGGCTATGTGTTGCGATGAACCAGATTGCCAGGAAGAATGTTCACAGCCTTCTCGGCCCTGGTCCGTCCAAGCAAATGGGCAAGACGCAAGACCTCGAATCACGCGTGATGTTGCACGACCTGCTCTGTCATGGTGAGACTAGCATCACAGAGGAATTTGTCGAAGGGCCGCGTGGAGAGGTGCCTGAGAGGCATTGGTTCTCCGTCGTCAGGAGATATGTGAGCACAGAGAAGCGCTCTCTACAAGCTTGTATGCTAAGAATGTCCCCGCGCAGACGACTAGCGTGGTAATGATGCTCGTGTATGGGCGTCGTATCCATCGCATTGTGGGCGATCCGGAGCTGTGCGTTGGCCAGCTCAATTTGCGGATGTCACTGCTGATGTGCTACTGGCAGGCATAAAGTCTACGACTTGATGTCCAACTTCACACATGTGTCCCAACCTGGAAGATATATGTTCGTCAACGTCCACAAATCGAATATTTATGCGTCTCTCACAACCTGTTCTCATGTAGGGTGGATGCGCTTCCTGTCCTACGTTGGCTACCAGATATGCTGGCCCCATGGAGAGCAGAGGGGAGGAAGACGCACAAACGGTATCTATCGTTGTGATCAATTGGAGTTCCACATGCTAATCTGGTCTACAGGGAAATGGACTTCTGGGGGAAGCTGTTCTCTGACAGCCGGACGGCCTTTCTCAATGGCACCGGGCTCAACGGCTTTGTTCAGTCTTATCTCCGCGCCCGTACCGAGGCGGGGCTCGAGGATCTGCCCGGTAATGGTGCAACAGAGGACGCGGCGGGGTGGATGCGCGACAAGCTTATCACATACACGGCTGTGACCATCGTCGAGGCTGGCTCCGATACGACCTCGACCGCCGTCTTCTCATTTGTGCTGCTCATGCTCAGCAACCCGGATGCTCTTCAGCGTGCTAAGGAAGAGATGGACGCGGTGGTAGGCTCTAGCCGCATGCCGGATTGGGAGGACGAGGATAAGTTACCTTGGCTCACAGCCTGCATCAAGGAGACGCTGCGACGCGCACCACCGGCGCCCTTGGGTGAGTGCAATTACGGCCAATTCTCCGCAAATCACTGCTAACGGCATGCGTCCTACCTGGTGCGATAAAGGTATCCCGCACAAGGTAGACGAGGACGACGTTTATAACGGCTATCTCATCCCTAAAGGATCTACCGTCATTGGAAATATATGGGCCATCCATATGGACCCCGTTCGGTATCCTGACCCAACCGCATTCAAGCCGGAGCGGTTCTACAATCCAGATGGAAAGTTGAACTGGGCCAGTGGCCCGGACACCCACAATCGCGACCAGTACGTGTTCACCAAAATGTGAGGCGACGTGTACTAAGTAGTCCGGCTCAGCTACATATTCGGGTGGGGCAGGCGTTTCTGCTCTGGCAAATATCTTGCAGAGGCATCGATGTTCATTGTTCTGTCTCGTCTCATCTGGGGCTTCGACTTCTACGCAGCATCGGATCCGCAGACTGGCAAAGCGAGATTGCCCGATGTCAATGACGTGGACACGTTCACAGACGGACTTGTGACTGCCCCGAAGATATACCCTGTTGGATTCAAGCCACGGTCTGAGAAGCACGCCGAGATGATCAAAGCATCGTATAGAGAGGTGCAGAATGACTGGCAGTCGATGGGGCTGGCTGGAGATGAGCGGTGAATGTCGTGTAGCTCAAAGGAGGCTACGAGTGGTCGAATGTGCGGGAAGGGCACAAACCTTGAGCATGTTTCTGTGGCACTGGGATTGGCGATAGGGGATTTTACAATGGCGTATTCCGAACGCGTCCTGGACATGTATGATCTAACTTGCGTGGGCCTGCATTGACATCCATATGAAAGCGTTATCTCCTTCATATGAAGGACGTTGCAGTCGCATGCGCTACTAGCGACTATTGCGTAATTAAGGCTACCTATGAGCTTCGCTTTGATGTGAGGGACGGACGCGTCCAGCTCATCTAGCCCTCCATGTGACCGCGTCAGAACTGACAGGCGCCCTACTCAGAGGATAACCGATCATCGATCGTCTCACGAATGTTCGTGTTCTGCCTCCGGAGAGGCCGTCGCCAGATCCCAACATGGTAACGACTTGAGCTTGATGCTACCAATGTCAGTTGCTCTGTCGTGTATACAGAACATATTGGTTTGTAACTCGAGTTAACAATGCGGCTATTGCAGACATCGTGCACCATTCGTGGGCCACCCCTGCACTGCGTTCTTGTGGGTGCAGTTTCAATATGGGCGAGATACGAGACCAACGAACCACAGTTCAATCACAAATGTGATGCAAAAACGCTTTCCTCAACTAGTCCTCGGCTCGGAGGGTCAACATAATCGAATACGCTTCTTGCACGCGCCGAGATGTCTGCATGACTGATATATATAAAGAACAGTACGACCTGTCTTCCTATCGAATCTGGACCTAGCTACGGATTAACATAAACTTCTCACGCACTCCAGGTTGACAGGCCCCAGGTATTTTACGTGCAAGCATTCGACGTGTACGATTTGTTGCAAAGTAAGATCGGCGCACATGTTTCGCAATGCTTGAACGTCATTCAAGTTCACAACAACGACTAGTCGCCCCTTGCCTTCAAGCAGACGAGCTTGTCAGCCATAATGTGCATGATATTTCTGCATGATACCAACATGATTACTGGGTGCGTGCGTGGTTCGATGCTGATCTCTCGCAGAAATGCTTGCCTTGGCTTACCTCGTCCAGCATTAATGCGGTCCCGCGAGTACCTGACGGCTCTTTCCGATATGCAAGACCTCGACACCGTTAGGAACACTACACTAGAGCTGTAGCATCCAATCTAAGGAGCGCGGACGTTATCCTTGGACTCGAGAGGATCGAGTCGCAAAGTGTGTTGCGGTACTTGGCAGAATACACGGCGGCGCGTGGCCGGAACCGAACGTCAATGACCTCGGGCGTCGCGCTCCGGATGCTAGTAATTCATGTCGAACAAGTATTGTCATAAGCAGCAAAATACCAATCCGCACATTTCATGACCATGATACCAGTGGTGGGTTTGGGGTAAGTATTTCCCGGAGGCTTCGACGATCCCATTGGCACGCTGCAGCAAAGTACACAGAGAAGCCTCATGCATTTCTATTGCCGATTACGGTTAACTCCCTTGCGATATAGCATTTACCTTTGGCCACGCAAAGTGACACACGTAATGAAAGAGCAGTGAATCCAACCCTCTTCTTCTTGTTTTACAACAGGTGTTCATCACACTACGAGAAATCTAGTGTTGCCACGAGCAGTATACTAGTGAAGAAAGGTCTCCAATGGTGCGTGACTTCAGTGTCTCCTTGTCGTGACTGGGTGGTACGGATTACTAAAGCGGTAGCATAATACAAAGGCGAGAGACTTGTGGCCGATCCTAGCACACGTGACAAGAAGGGCCGTTAAAAGCGGGCGCTGCCACAATGATCCTTCCACATTCCAACCACCACTGACGACAGGACACATTATCCTCTTCACCTATGGCTACTGAGCGAGCACTAGCAATCCCGGAGATCGTCTCTCACATCTTTTTCCAGTTTACTATCCATCCACCCCATGAGGCTCGCTGGCGGCATAATAGAACGCTGGCACGATCAGCACGAGTCAGCAAGTCCTTTATGGACCCAGCTTTGGACGCGCTCTGGAATCATCTCGATTGGCTTCATCCACTTCTACGACTACTCTCCGCATGCAAGCCAGTCCTCTTCACTAACAAAGCACGAAGAGGGCCTATACATTTCGTAAAGCCAATCTCGGGTTCGGAACCGAAGCACGTATGGGTTCGTCGTCGATTGTTGAATGCCGCTTTCTATTCATTCTGACATTACTGAGCCAATCTTAGATTTTTGACGGCAACATCTGCGCTCTGGAGTGGGAGCGATTCGAGACATATGCGCGGCGCGTCCGCTCTATGTCGCTGGAGCTAGATGGTAGCGTTGGTCCATCGGTGTTTGCGGCTCTGGCACGCCATAACGGGGGCCGTCCTCTTTTTCCTCTGCTCCGCGAATTATCGTGGATGCAGTGGGTGCCGGCATTCGATGGCACTCACCAAATGTTGGCTTCTCCCCATCTGCGTGAACTCCATATCGACATTCTGGTCTATCCCGAGCGCAAAACTCACCAAGAGTTCTTGGCTGGTATACTCGAGCGTCTCCTTAAAGAGATGTCTCGCATATCGCCTGATATCAAGACAATCTACCTAAACGGCGGGTTCAGACGCTGTCCTTCGGTTGCAGCGTTCAAACGCCTACGCTGCTTGCAAGTCAGCCGACAGACATCTTGCCGCATTGATGGCGCATTCATGAGATCTCTTTCGGACTTAAAAGACCTCACGGAGCTTTCCGTTCCTTGCGCTCCTCAAATGAAGATCCCGCCAAGCAGTCAAGGATTCGACTCCTTGACAAGCCTTTGTTTGATGTCCCTCGACGATTCTGCGATGCCGTTCTTATCCGCAACAACGTTTCCTCGCCTTCGATCCATCGCGATACATTATCACCCTAAACTCCCCATGAAGCTTAACGGGTGCCGGAACCTCATTGAAGACGTGACGAGGGCCTGTGCTAAGCTTCCTTCTCTTCGCAAGATGTGTATTGAATTCGGCTTCGATGATGGATTTAGAAGGGCACCACCTTTCCTCAACTTTGTACGGCCGCTTTTGTCGCTCACAGCACTCGAGGATGTCGAGATCAAGTGTGAATACTGCACAATGCCCGTGGAAAACAGCGACCTTCGTGAGGTGGCGCAGGCCTGGCCGCGACTGACACGTTTCTCATTGGCTATATCATCGCGGCTTGACTATCCTCTCCTCCCGACTGTCGACTGTCTGGTTTCATTTGCTCGGGCCTGCCCTAGCCTGAAACAGTTGGTCCTGCCCTCTATGGCACACTCATTGCCAAGAGCTCGCGACATGATGATGGTTCCTGCTATACCGGCGCATGGTCTGCAAAGCCTGGAATTCATGACCAGACCAAAGGTCTTAGTCGATCTCGACGTAGACTTCGCTCATTGTCTGAATCGCCTTTTTCCGAGAGTCTCGCTCTCGTGCAGTACCGTGGAATTCCGGAGGGTAGCTTATAAAGATGGTCACATGGCTTCTAGCGTCCTCAAATGGGATGCACTGGTCAATCAAGTGGCTAGACTGCAGTCTACCAGGCGGCGTGATAACCAACGAGGTACAAACGACCCCGACGATAATCCAGAGTATGAATGCCTGCAGACTAGTGTCATCGGGGATGTCGAGCATCAGGGATAACGAAAGGTATCTACGAAGCCAGCGCAAAATATCAGTGTTCTACGGTGTTCAACTATGCCTGCGCCGCTCGCTAACAAGACCAGGACCTTCCAAGGTGTGTAGAAATAGTGAGGCTCCTATCATGGTTTTAGTCAGTAGCTTTGATTTTTTGCTTGCTCTTGGCCGATAAGCCCTAGAGCTGTCTCTTTTGCTTACCTATGTTATGTCTGTCGTCGGGTCTTTGTAGAATACAATCGGTCATGACGCCGAGAAATTCAATTTTCTCTCTTGACCACCTCTTTCTCTCTACTCCCTTGCTAGTGCGGACGAGCGACTCACGCGTATGCTAGGTGAGAACTTCGTTGTGTTCACTAGCATGTTCGTATCTTCGTTGGCCGGGTCAGCCCGGATGTGCGACTAGCCTGTTGCGCACATTGTGGCTATATAAGTCTTTTCCTCGTGCTTTGGGTGTTGCGTTCTGTGATGCATATAGTAGATCAATGTCGCGCATATATTGGATCGTCAGATCGTAATGGCCGTAGGTTGTTCCCTCCAGCTCTTCGACGTTTAATGACCGTACACACCGCAATGTTTTCCCTACGTAAATCTGTTTCAATGACTCACGATAGCAGAACCAAGAAATTGACGTGCTGCAGACCTAAGTATACCACTACGATAATGTTTTATCTCAGTTACAGTGGAGACGCGTCTTGAACGCGCTGACGGTATCAAGAGTGTTCGTATATCGCGTCCCTCCCGAGTCCCAATCACTTCCGCCAATGACACGAGCCTAGCCCCACAGGTCCTATAGAGAGTTGTTGCCAGGTAGTGGTTCCATGTTACGCATCACGGCAAGGATTGATGAGTTTTCGCTTGTTCATCTAATCTTATCTGACTGCCGAATCTCGATCACTGCTCCTTCAAAGCAGCCAATTCAAGCGCCCAACGACCAAAAAATGGCCTCGACATCTTACGCTCGCCCTAGCTCCTCGCAGCTGCCCCCCTCTGTTTTCAACCCGCGGCGGCATGTCAATGTACAACCCGAGCGCGTCTCGGACGTGTCGAACACGGAGTATCCTGGTCACTACCCCGACGAGGACCACAGCTGGGACTTGCAGAAGTTCAAGCAGGTGAGCCATGTGCCGCGCATGTATGTTGGCTTGGGGTGCTTATGCAGGAACTATGGCGGGTCCGCCTAGACTCTAAACGTAGAGGTCAAGAGACTCTCGCAGCGGTCGATCGAATTTGACCTGGTGGGCGTCGATGCGTCAATCGCGAACGCGTTCCGGCGGATCCTCATTGCGGAGGTGCGCGGCATCTGCGACCCTTTTCCCCGCCGGCTCTGAGCGCTGAGCATGTGCGTACAGGTGCCGACAATAGCCATCGAGTATGTCTACATGTGGAACAACACGTCGGTCATCCAGGACGAGGTCCTCGCGCACCGTCTCGGGCTTGTCCCGCTCAACCTAAACCCGGCGCTCTTCGACTTCCGCGACGCCAGCGGGGTCCCGACGGACCGCAATACGCTCGTGTTCCGGTGCGTCACCCCTTTCAGCTGCCTGATGTGGCATTGATGCGTTTTGCGTGGGCAGGCTGAACGTGGCGTGCGAGCTGGACAAGAGCACGCCCAAGGGTGCGCCGAAACAGTACATACATGATCAAGTGACGAGCGGCGACCTCGAGTGGGTCCCGCAAGGTGAACAAGAGACCGCATTCGGGGACCGCATACCTGGCCCGACGAACCCGGTATGTGCTACTATGCTGCGCGAGTCTGTGACCTCCGCGGCTCACCCTGGGTGGCTAGAACATTGTCCTGGCAAAAATGCGACCAGGACAAGAAATCGAGTTGGAGCTGCATGCAGTCAAAGGTGTTGGCAAGGAGCACGCAAAATGGAGTCCAGTCGGTGAGCAGAGTGTCTCCGCCTCCGTTGACCGGTGCGTTGTCTCACGCATACATCACAGCAACGGCCTCGTATCGCACACATCCGTTGATTCTCCTCAATCCCTCCATGCCTGTGCCACCGCATCTGGCACAAAAATTTGCTAAATGTTTTAGCCCGGGTGTCGTGCAAGTCAGTGCTGACGGAGAGGTGCGCTGCAGTCTCACTTGACTCTTACGATCTATGCGACGAGTGACGGCTTTGGCAGGTGTCTATCGACGAGCACAACCTGCGAAAAGAAAGCATGTCGCGGGAGGTTCTGCGGCACAAAGAGTTCGAGGGGTGCGTCGAGTTGAAGCGCATCCGGGATTGGTTCATCTGTGAGTGTTGTCTGCTATTTTCTGTGTATTATCGATGTGCTAACTTCGTCGCAGTCACGGTCGAGTCGGAGGGCCCGTACGCGCCCGAGGCGCTCTTCCCGGAGTCGGTGCGTGTGATGCGCGAAAAGATTGCGAACATCCGGCGGGCGGCGGAGGCGCTACTCGCGGATGCGGATGGTGGGGGCGGGGTAGGCGCGGACGGGGATGTGGAGATGGCTGGTGTCTGATGTGGGGCGTACTGTATTAGTCGATGCGACGACACCTGTTGATATGCACATCTAATTCGATCATGTCAATAGCCCATGCTCCCGATGCTGAACACAGTGCTCTGTCGTGATGTCTTAAGAGGATCCCATTTACCCCAGTCCGTCTAGAAAGCGGTGATTGAATATTCGACGGGCATCACCGGAGCGGCGGCGGCGGCGGCGGCAGCAGCAGCAGCAGCAGCAGCAGTCGGCTGCCACGGTCCTTTGATTTGTAGGTTCCCCTTGTACGGGGCTTCAGCGCCGTCAGTGCTCCATGACAAGCAGCTCTGTACGGCTTCCTCTCGCTTCCCGCCAGCCAAGCAGCATCGGACACATGTTCAGAACGCCCACGCCAGTCACTTGACGAGAACATGCAGCGCGCAGGGGTCGTCGCATGCGGCGAGAAGCAGGATTTCCCGCCCGCGGACCAGCACACGGGGGGAATCACGCGGGATGCGATTCGCGTAGGATCAAATCAAGTGACGACGCCATGACACTGGACAAAGCAAGAGCTCCGAAGAACGTCTTTGGCCTGGAGATCGAACGGCGTCGCCGCGGGTATATATGTGCGCGGGTGGTCGTGAGGATGTGCCCGTCCTACCCCTGCCTTTCTCCACCATTTGGCGTGAGGAACGACGCACCGTCGTGCCCGGCTGAAACACTACCTAACGACCATCTCGCGCCCGATCTTCGTTTCAAGCTTGGTGGCGCAGCTTCCAGTACTGGTGACCACGATCGTTGCACGCGGCGACCCCCGAGAGGTTTTCACGGTCTTTTGCCTCCGCACGGCAAACCCAAAACCTTTTCCTTTCTTCCCTCGCTCGCCGTCTGTGCTTTTAGCCTGCCCTCGATCCTCCACGAGTCCAGCTACTGTAGTCTTTTTGACGCTCTTGCATTCTCTTCACGACCACGACCACCTAACCATATCTGAGACTGCGGTCAACGCTTGCTCGGCCTGACGACGCAACCATGTCTTCCCTCATTCAACCCTACCCCCGCTGGCTCCTACTCTCGCTCTTTCTCGTGCTCTGGAGCATCACACGCGGCACCCGCCACGAGACTGCCCTCGGTTTCGGTGCACAGGCACAGCTCTCTGGCCTCACCGGGTGCCCCTTGGGGTGCGCTGCTCAGGCGTTCACTCAGGTTGACTGCACCGTCCTGTGAGTCTCCTACGTGTGTTTCTGGTCCGCCCAGACTGACGAGGCACTGTCAGCGATGTGACGTGCGCTTGTGCGTCCTCGTCGTTCCTCTCCGACGCGCAGGCGTGCATGACCGCGAACTGCACTGTGGCGGAGACTGAGGCGGGCATACAGGATCTCAAGAATGCGTGTGCTGCGAGTCCGGGTGAGTGCATTTTTTGCGCGTGCGCGTGCGGCTCTCAGTGAGCTGCAGTTTTGGTGCAACGTCAAGCGACGACGACGTCTACGTCCGCGACCGCAACCGCTTCCAGCACGGCGTCGGACAGTTCTAGCGCCTCGGCTTCTAGCTCCGGTACGTTTGCCGCGAATCCTCATGGTCTGTGATGCTCACCAGGAGTCTAACATCGTGCACAGCTGCGTCCTCGTCAGCGTCGACCAGCGCATCTGCGTCTGGCAACAGCACTGTCACTGCGAGTAGCACCAGCGCAAGTGTGACTTCAAGTGACAGCGGCAATGCTACGAGCAGCGCTGCGGCATCGAGTAGTGCAGGGAGCAGCAGCGACAGCAGCGCTCCCAGCAGTACCGATTCAGCGACAAGCTCGGCGGTAACAAGCTCGGCGGTATCAAGCTCTTCGGCGTCGGCGTCGAGCGACAGTGCCTCTCCCGCGTCAAGTTCCTCGGCAGTTTCAGTAACGTCAAGCTCGCTCCCCTCGAGTGTGGCCGCGACGACGGTTGTGACGGTCGTGGCGACGCCAGGAACGGGTACGGGCGTAGGTACCCTGACGAGCGAGTCCACGGTAGCATCCAGGTCAACGGTGACGACGAACGTCCCGGCTGTGTCAACAACCCCTGCGGGCAACACTGGTGCCGCAATGGGTCTGCGTGCGCCGTCTGCGCTCGCGGTGCTGGGTGCATTGCTGGTGTGGGCTGGACTGTATTAGGAGGTGTAGGAGGTGTTGGGTGGTGGATGAGATTGACACTCGTTATTTATTGCCTGGGCTTGCCTGGGCACCACGGACTATTGTGAGTGCAATCCTGCGCTATGCTGTATGTTGTGTACGAGCACTGGCCGTGCTGATGCTTGTCTTGCCGCGAGGCATGTATAATGGGTGTATGTGTAGGCTATGCCTGAGAGGGCCTGTGCCATTCCTGTATTGTACGGTACTTTCGCCCTGCTCCGCGTTCCCTCGATACATCCCGATGTCGTAGCGCTACGCAGTGTGTTTATAATTCTTCTGTTCTCACATCACATGGCGCCAATGCAGAAGCCTCGACGCGTCCCGACTCGCGTTAAGTCGCGCGAAGTGAGTGTGACGGGTGACTGTGACTGGCCAATTGCGGCCCGATTCTTTGGCGCTGTCCAATTTGACCAGATTGGGCGCGCTTCGGTGATTAATGAAGTGTGCCGCGGCCGGCAGTCCTGCAAATAAGGCATGGCTCGGTGTATCCGCAGTGTTGGTCACCGGCGGTCGGCGGAGGTAGATACCAGGGGCGGGAGGCGTGACTCCTGGCGGCTATTAATGGTGCAGTGCTCTCTGCCTAGCGCGAGGACTGCTGCTGCTTGGATTGCAGTTTTGGTGGACTGGCAGGGTTCGAAGTGTACGTCACGGACGGTGCGAAAAGCTTAGACATGAAAGCGTGCACGCGGGGGCTGTGTGACGTGTGTGACCACTAGTATGACAGCAGGCGGGAGCTGTGACGCCTGTGACGTGATCAGCGAGAACAAGGGCGGCTGAGCAAGCGGACGACAGTCTGTCCCTTTCCCTCGTTACTCTCGCCCGCCCCCCTTCTCCTCGTCGTCGTCCACGTCGCCCGCGGCACCTCTCTGCGTCGCCGCCGCCCCGCCAGCGAACCTCGCCTCGCCATATCTGACCCCCCGCCGCAGGGGACTTCCGCGAGTGCCGAGCCGAACCCGCCGATTCAGCCGCGTCTTGCACCGAAGTGACCGCGCCGCTCGTGAGCCCGCGCATACACCGTGCCATACAAGTGGGATCACGCGCGCACCGCGTCTGCCACCCGCCATGGGCAACTGCGTCTCTGCCCAGGACCGCGAGGCCCTCCAGCGCTCACAGGAGATCGACCGCCAGATCGAGGAGGACTCGCGGAAGTTCAAGAAGGAGTGCAAGATCCTGCTGCTTGGTGTGTGTTATCCGCGTTTTTCTTTTGGGCCGCAGGGTGGCGATGATAATCGGCCGCGTCTGTGCGAGCGGCAGCCGAGTAGCTGCTCGACCTATCGTGAGTTGAGCGGCCGCACGGCGAGACGCGGACTACGCTAGTGTGCGGTCGCGCATCCCACAAAGGAAGTGGGTGGTGGCATATCCAGTCGCTCATAGCTGCGACTGCGACTGCCTGAGTCTGTGACTAAACAGCCATGGGAACGGTCGCTATCTTTTGTAGTCGTTTTGACTGGCATTGGGTGACTGAATGCCAGTCGCACGATTAATCGACGAGTGGCACAAGACTGGACTACGTTGGCTTCCTGGTGCAACGATGTCCATGCTGACACTCTGTCGCAGGCTCGGGAGAGTCGGGGAAGTCGACAATCGTCAAGCAGATGAAAATCATTCACCAAAATGGCTACAACAAGGCCGAGCTCATGACATACCGCACGACAATCTACAAGAACCTCCTCGAGTCCGCCCACAACATCATTCTCGCGATGCGCAAGCTTGGTGTCGACCCTGTGAACCCCGAGAACCGGGCACGGACAGACGAGATCTTTGATTATGAGGTTACCGCCGAGCCGAACTTCTATTTCTCGGAAGAGATGGCGAAAGCGATATATGAGCTCTGGCAAGATCCTATCATCTCGACGGTTATGGACCATAGTAGCGAGTTCTACCTTATGGACAGCGCAAGCTAGTGAGTGGTGCTATACTCGTAGGGACTGTATGCCCTCTCACGATGCGCCAGCTTCTTCACAGAAGCACTACGGATAGGCACTCCCGTCTATGTACCTACAGAGATGGATGTCTTGCGAGCGCGAGCGAAAAGCACAGGCATCACAGAAACACGCTTTACGCTTGGACCACTATCGTACGTGTGCGACCATCGTGCTAAACATATATACTCAACATGCATCAGGATACACATGTTCGATGTCGGCGGCCAACGTTCAGAACGGAAGAAGTGGATACACTGTTTCGAGAGCGTCACAAGCATCATCTTCTGTACCGCACTGAGTGAGTACGACCAGGTACTCCTCGAAGAGCGAAATCAGGTACGTTCCCTCGCTTGGTGTATGTGGAGCGCCGTTCATGTTCGTTCCTTAGAATCGCATGCACGAATCTCTAGTGTTGTTCGATTCCGTGATCAACTCGCGGTGGTTCCTGCGAACTTCGATTATCCTGTTCCTGAACAAAATCGATGTGTTCAAGAACAAGCTTCCGAAGGTCCCACTGGAGCGGTATTTCCCGGAGTACACGGGCGGGGCAGACATCAACAAGGCGGCGAAGTATATCTTGTGGAGGTTCATGCAGGCGAACCGGGCGCGGTTGAGCGTGTACCCACAGTGCGTACCTGCCTCGTGTGCGACGTGCTGGCTTGATTGACAATGGCTATGCTTAGTTTGACGCAGGCGACGGATACGAGCAATATCAGACTAGTGTTCGCAGCAGTCAAGGAGACGATATTGCAAAATGCGTTGAAAGATTCAGGAATCTTGTAGGATTCTAGAGGAGGTGTATATAGGTTTCTTTTGGTTACTTTATCGGTGAGTTTCTCTGTCGCCCTGCATTTCGCTCCCTTCGAGCGATACGAGCGCGGCCGACGGATGCTCATGCAACGCTCCCAGCAGACTTTCCCTGCAACTTTCCCTCTCCTCCATTCCCACTCCCTTGTACGCATGCATCATCGTCGCCGGACCATCTATCATCTGCTGCTGCATTATCATTCCTCGTCACGAGTCTGCTTCATCATGTCACATCTACTACACGTCTCCTCTTCCTGCGTCACGACTCGCCCCCGTCTTGGACGGCCGCATGCCATCTCACTATCGTACTATCGCTCGCGCAGCAGCGCTCAATATGCGCTCGACTACAATCAGCCACTGGTGGTTGGGTCCTACTGTCTAATCGTCTACCGCCCTGTACCTATACACTTCCTGCGGCAGCACCTTTGCCCGCCGCTGCCATCGGCATTCTAGCCTGGCCCTGCTCGCGACGAATTAATCACGTCCATACTTCTCTCACGGCTCACCTGTGATCGCGCGTCACGCACTCCCACACGACCACGCCCTCGTCTTCTCTTGGCCGCCTGCTCCGAATTCCGAGCAGGCTGCCCGGAATTTCGCGCTCGCCGACCCTGCCTGCACCATATGGCCACTCTACCGCCCGGCACCGAGCCGTCAACGCTCACGTAGGCTTATCAGGCTGCCTAGCGCTGTGCTGTCGACCACTGCCACCTATTGCTGATGCTAGACGTCCAGGTAGGCTAGCTGGATGACGTCGCCGTGATCGCTCGGCGGCTGTATGTTGTCTGGCTATCCCCGTGTGCGCAGCATATGGCTCATCCATTGCGCGGCTCGCTCGTTGTCAAACTCCAGCGCGAAGGTACGGAGGACTCGGGCACAGCACCCTGCACGGAGGGATCCGGGATTAGCGATGCGCTTGTGGCTGGTGGTGTGTCGGATGGCATTAGTGAAGTAAATGATGGGCAGAGTGGCTCTAGGGCCAGTCAGTTTGGGTTAGGTGAGCTGTATGACGGGATGTCAAGCTGCAGGAGAAGGTGGCCATCTGGCTAACGCGCGAGCGTCGGGCTGTTTCTGTTCGCTTTGTGCTTTTGGCGACGGATTGAAGTCGTTGGTCCACCACTCTCCCCTGTCGCTCGGTGTTCGCGTAGACCACGGCGAGAGCTGATGTCCGGGGACCTGGTGCCTTCCCTCTTGCCTGATCCAGACTAGGCCGCGCCTTACGGCTGGCTTCCCCGCCGCTGTATCGCGCAAGACCAGTGTTCTGGCTTCCTGTCTTGAGCGGACGATTGTCTTCGCCTCGGTCGCTTACCTCAAGGATACCTTACCGGTCACCCAGACGCGTCACCGGGCTCATGTCGTGATCCACCCGATAGCGACCGCTTCCCACAGCTGTCAAGGTGCGTGGTGCGCGCCCCGAGCGACCCCGGACTCGCCTGTCCTCTCCTCATACAAGCAATTCGTCACTCTGGCTGTGCGGACCTTGCCTGTCGCCGTCGTGGATACCAGAATGCCAGCCTAGCGCTCACCGCAGGCCGGTGCGTTCATGCCGGACGAGGACTTCCGTGCTTCGTGTTCCCTTCCTGAACCATGTTCCTTCCAAGCGGACGCTCGAGTGTAATGTAATTATTCCTCGTCTCTATCAGTCTCATCCTCCTTCGCATCGCCATCTACAAGCACACCCTATCCTTGCCCGTCCATCGCTCCTACATTCCCCTTGTGCAAGTTCCCCAACATACGGCGTTGTGCCTACCTGTTTATCATCCCTCTCTGTACCCGCGCCGGATGTGACGTCTCTTCATGACACCCCGTGCTGGCTTCTCCCGTTTATTACCTCCACGTACGTACGTACCTGTTTAGGTTCTGTTCTGCTGTGCTGCATCTGGAAAGTCTAATTCTACCGTATAGAGAGCAATAGCGGACTACCGGGATGTCACATGTCTACTGATCCAATTACGCTTGTTTACGATGTGTAGAACGGGCCTGTGTGTGCTGATCAGTTGGAGACGAGACGACGTGTAAGTTATCATAATTCAGATAGGACAGGGTCAAGTACTAGGATCTTGTATAGTGTAACGCTTCACTCACCCCGGTATACGCTGTATCATATCCATATTGTAGAGAAGTCTACAGGAGTGCATACATGGAGAGAGTAAGTATTAGCTGCCCGTTAGAGGGCGTGAATCGCCACAAAACCAACCCCCAATGTAAAAATGACAAACCCATCAGATCCCTGTATTAGATTAGATCGACTCGTTACATATAAACAGGCTACAAGCGTCTGAGAAGAATTATACCAGGATTGAATTCCGTTGGCAACAATAATCGCCGCTCGCGGGACATATGAGCTTCGTATTGAGCGTGAAATATTATCAACAATATTGTACAGAACTACTAGGTTGTCACATTAGCACTAGCAGCCTCGCTCGCCCTGAGCATCTGTCAACTGAATACAACCAAGCTATCGGCTCTTGGCTTGCTATTCTTGGAGACGCCGTCGCCGTTGACGAGTGGATTTCTCCCGATTGACCTCAGCGACTAATACATCCCATCGACGAGGTAATTTTGATCATGCGATGCATCTTTCGTAGATGGACAATCAAGTAGTCTTCCGTATACCGGCTTGTTGTAACGAAGTATGATATTTGGGAACATACGGAGGAGATACTGCGCGAGTGCTTGGGGTGACTGGTAGAGCCGAGGCCCCCACAAAAACTTTAGGCTCCTGAGGCCGTGCGGTGCGGGCGGAGACGTGAGCAATTCATGAATGTCATGCTTGTGTGTCATCAAGGGGAGCGTCAGATGCTTCAAGTCTGGGCAAGATTTGGAAAAGGCCACGAGTGTCCCGACGGTAGGTGCTGAAGGGTTTGGGAGACAAGACAGCGAGAAACACGTCAAATGTGGCCACGCCCGAGCTATTGCGCGCATGTTATGGTCCGCGATATCCATCCGAGTGCGACCGTATTGTAGGTTGACCTCTTCGAGTTCGCAAAATTCAAGAAGGGGTTGTACGATCTTGAGGACAGATTCCCCCCTCCTCCCAGACAAGGAAGACTTGCGGCGGATGCTCAGGGAGCGAAGAGAAGGATACTTCGTGCAAGCCTCCGCCACATCCGTCATGATTTCACGAAGTCTGTCAAGTGATGGAGCCTCGGGGATGAAATCGAGGACAAGAGACCTGAGACGAGGCAATGTCATTGCTCGTAGAAGTGACGTCCCCGAAAACCCATCGAACCTCAGCTGTAAGCATGTTAGCATCGAGAATTGGCCGATGCGCGGCAAAATCGTTTGTACTCTTGCCTCAGCAATGTTGATGTCCGTGAGGTTCTCCAACAGAGACAGCGGGTGCAAAGATTCGGCGTTGAGCCTGCAGAAATTGATTTCGACCCGACGCATGCGTGGGAATGACCCGACAGAAGGCGGACAGCGCTGAATGTCCCCCTTGATATATAATTCTGCAACATTTGGAGCCAGCGGAGGGAGTCCGCTGAGCAGGCGTTCAAATTCGTTCGTCAAGGCGTCCCTTTGGAGCTGGGTATTAGGCATAGCTTATGACCCGTAGGTGTAGTCCACGAAGTTCTGGAGACATGAAAAACTCCAACGTATTGTTAAATGTCTCAGACATTTGCTCCCACGAAAAGAACCGCAGCAAGGGAAGTATGAGACGCTCTCCATTGTGGCGGTAGAGAGCGGTATACACCGACGCCGCAATCCGATCATACTGAGAGAGTTTGATGGAACGTATACGCTGTGCGTATGTCTTAAAGCGCTCCCAGTCCGTCACATGAATGGCACCATCCATGACCTACCAATATAGGATCAGTTTGTCTTCATAGACCTTCAAGATTTATCATCACGAACCCATACATCATCCGGAATTAACTTTGTTGGTATCGGTTCGCTGGAGCAGATACGCGTGTAGGTGGGTAGGATCTGCAGCAGAGGCTGAATGGAGACGAGATCCCGCCAAAGGATATCTAGCGCAGGTTCTGCGAAAGCCTTGCACACCCTCGCCGACCGTGCCAGTGTCTTGTTGCGTTTCGAGCGAGGGTTGCACGATAACGGGGGCACGGTGAACTGTTCGAAAATGAGATAAATAATCTCGGGGATCTCGAAGGCTCTGGGAGTGGCCATGCGTATGAGCGGAACGGTTGAAGAGTTCTAAGTCAGAAGGAGGATTTGTGGCGAGGACGCGCCCGCTGTTGGTCTACCAGTTGGTCACGTGTGATAGGTCACAAGTATCCATACGATGGTAACCAAATAACAGGTAATTTGGAATCCGGTATGCTCGACATTTTATCTACGTAGTACGTCAGAACATCAGAACGGCAGTGAGTGAGTAAAGTATCCCACCAACGACGGCCGCATTGTAGGAACAAAAAGAGCAGTCACGCTAATGTCTGTGCAGCTCAAGTATGACAAGAGTACAAAAAAGCCGACCTTTAGGTTTCCCATTGGTTGCCTATTCCGAATCCAGCCGGCCAATCCTACTTTAGTGTTGGAAATAACAGTCGATACTTACGTTAGTAGTAGATCACTTGATCACGTATGGTACTTCAAGACGCCGATCGACCTGTACTTAGATCATGACATGTTTGCTGGCTACAAGCTGAGTCAAACGCGGTTTATCCTATTGTCTTAAGTCTTGATCCCTGCAAGAAATCTAACATATAGTAGCCAAAACGATTCAGCGTCGGATTATGCACAGAGATCTACAACATCGTGGGACTAGGAGGGTAGAGCCTGAACACGACGGAAAGAGGGTCATTTTCGTTGGAGACTGGCATAGAAGTATATTCGAACTTCGAGAGCGCTTTCTTGAGCTACACGACATTCACCGCTCATCTCCAGCCAGCCCCATAGACTGCCAGTCATTCTGCACATCTCTATACGATGCTTTGATCATCTCGGCGTGCTTCTCAGACCGTGGCTTGAATCCAACAGGGTAAATCTTCGGGGCAGTCACAAGTCCGTCTGTGAATGTGTCCACGTTATTGACATTAGGCAACTTCGCTTTCCCAGTCTGCGGATCCGACGCCGCGTAGAAGTCGAAGGCCCAGATGAGACGAGACAAAACAATGAACATCGACGCCTCTGAAACATATTTTCCTGGGCAGAAGCGTCTGCCCCACCCGGATATGTAGCTGAGCGGGATCAGTCAGGAAATGACACTCCACATCTGGGTGAGAACGTACTGGTCGCGATTGTGGGTGTCAGGACCACTGGCCCAATTCAACTTTCCGTCTGGATTGTAGAATCGCTCTGGCTTGAGTAGGGTCAGGGTACCGGACAGGATTCATATGGATGGCCCATATATTTCCAATGACTGCAGATCCTTTGGGAATAAGGTAGCCGTTATAAATGTCGTCCTCGTCTGCCATGTGCGAGATACCTTGATTATACCAGATGAGACGCATACCGTTGTCAATTATTGGCCGGGATCTAGATAGCTGCCATCGTACTTACCCAAGGGAAGCGGGGGTGCGCGTCGCAGCGTCTCCTTGATGCAAGCTTTGAGCCAAGGTAACCTATCTTCGTCCTCCCAGCCGGGCATGCGGCTAGAGCCTACCACCGCGCCCATCTCTTCCTTCGCGCGCCGCAGAGCGTCCGGGTTGCTGAGCATGAGCAGCACGAACGAGAAGACGGCGGTCGAGGTCGTGTCCGAGCCAGCCTCGATGATGGACACAGCCGTGTATGTGATAAGCTTGTCGCGCATCCAACCTGCCCCGTCCTCTGTTGCACCCTTACCGGGAAGGTCCTCGAGTCCTGCCTCGGCACGTGCGCTCAGATAGGACTGAACAAACCCGTTGAGCCCGGTGCCATTGAGAAAAGCCGTCCGGCTGTCGGCGAACAGCTTGCCCCAGAAACCCATCTCCCTGTAGACCAGATTAGCATTTGGGACTTCAACTGATTAGAGCAATAGATACCATTCGTGCATCCTCTTTCCCTCTGCTCTCCATGGAGCCATAATGTCGGGTAGCCAGCGTAGGATAGGGAGTGCATCCACCCTACATGATGACCAACTATGAGCGATGCATAAAGATTCGATTGATGAATGTTGACTAACAAATATCGTCCAGGCTGTGACACATGTGTGAAATTAGACATCATGTGATAGACTTTATGGCTGAAAGTAGCACGTCAGCAGCGATGTCTACATTTCAAACTCCCCGACATACAGCTCCGGGTTCTCCACAATGCGATGGATGCGACGGCCATACACAAGGGTCATCATCAGGCTGGTCGTCTGCGTGAGGACGTGCTCAGCATGCCGTCAGGTGGAGAGGACTTTCAATCCGCTCACGTATCGTCTTATGATAGAGAACCAATGCCTCTCCGGCACCTTCCCGTGCGGTCCTTCGACGAATTCCTCTGTGATGCTAGTCTCACCGTGGCAGAGCAAGTCATGCAGCATGACGCGGCACTCTAGATCTTGCATCTTACGCGTTTGCTTGGACGGACTGGGGCCAAGACTGCCATGGACACTTTTCTTGACGATCTGGTTTATCACAACACACAGCCAGCGCAGAGCGGCCAACAGGTGAGCTCGAACTGTCGATGCTGGAAGGTATGTCCGACAGACCTTCCACTCTCGGCCGTGTGGCATGAGCACCATCCATTGCTGGTCGCTCAGCAGGTCGGACCCGACGTGCGAGGGCTCGCGGCTGGAATACAGCTTGTTGCGGGTGACGAACAGTTCGTCCGCTGCTTCGGAGGTGCTCAGCACAATGATGCGTTGGCTGCCCAGTTTGATAGAGAATACAGGGCCGTATTTTTGTGCCCACTTCAGATACTGGACGTCGGGTCTGTTAGTGACCATAGGTGAAGTCATATAGGCCGACGATCATCGTACCTGGGGGTAGGGACGAATCACGTTGAATTGAAACATGTTGCCGAGGAATGGGATTCCGCGAGGTCCAGGCGGTAAGGGGGCACGCCGAGTGCCATTGGCGTAGAAGGCCACCGCGGTGACGAGTAAAACAATAGCAAGAATTGCCAACTCATTGGTCGAGACGGCCATCTTCAACCGCGTTCTAACAATGGCTGTGGATGCAGGCTTAGCATGCAGCACAACTCAGCTTTAATAGTGGTCAATGGTTTCAGTCATGGGGCTGGCCACCCGGATGCTCCCGCAGCACAGTCATTGACTGATAAACGGCATGACGGATGGTATCAAGCCGTCGTTTCGAAAACTTGTATCTCCCACCAACTAAGGGTCTGGTGTTGGTCCCTTTAGCCAGTGGAAATGTCCAGAAAATCAGAGGCAAAGCATGCGTTATCAGAGCGCATACCACCTGCGTGGAGCACCGTCAGCAAGGAAGACTCAGCCTGAATCAGCACACAACGTGCACTCACCGTCCTACCCGACATTGACACAAATCCTGTGGAGTATTCCCAGTGGCGTGTATCCCGGCGGTATGTCCTAGCAGCACGGCACATCATGCGCATGCCTGAATAGAGAAGGGAAGAGTCGAGTCTACCGGAGATGGTTAGGGAGGGGGCTCGGCCGCCGTCACCAATCTATGGGCGTCATTCATGCCCCAGCGAATCTCTTTTCGAGAACAGACGGCGTTGATTGCAAATGAGCACCGCCGCTACCCGTGTGCCACTTTGTCGGGGATACCACTGAGTAGATGCATGTGCAGTCGTCTCCTAACGCACGGCGAAGACTTGTCACTCTGCTCACGACTCCGCGCGCACTTTGGAGCCATAGCTGAGAGGTTGCACTTCAAATTGTTTGACATCTAGGGCGCCGACGCACCCCGATTTGGAAGGTCTTGGGCGGTTGATGCGACTTTGCTGTCAGGCGACTGGTGGTGCCGTCAGTGACCGTACCCCACACGCTGCGAGCAGGAGGCGACGAGGAAAACACAAGCGTACAGCATAGGCATATTGATCCGCGGCGTGAGCACGGCAGGCAGAGGGCTAGATGCAGAACACGCAGGCGCGCCGGCGGCGGCGTCTGACCCACCGACTGCCTTATTACCACAAGTCGAGTCCTAGGGCAGGGACATTGTAGCCCGCCGGGAACAGCGTGCCGTGACGATACCATGCGGGAACACAAAAGGCGCGCACGGCTAAGCTACGCGGGGCGTCTACTGATGCGCAAGAGGCAGCAAACAGGAGTCCACAATGTGACGGTGAGTGACAGGGACGTGCGTTCTCCTTGATGACGCAGAAGACGCCTTTGTAATGTCGCTGTACCCAACAAGGTATGATGAAACAAGTCCAAATCTGCAAAAAGGTATAGGGTGAACTTGTACGAGAATAAAATTGATGCCGTATCTGTGACAGTACGTCAAGTGAGCCATTCCAGAACCCTTGCCATGCGCCGTCGCAAATATCACAGGGGTTTGAAACGTACTGTTCCGGATTCCGAGTAAATTATCATTGGTATTCATGATACCTCTCCCATCGCCTCACGCACCTCGACCATTCGGCGCAGTACGTATCAAAGGCCAGGGTGTTGGCAGATCCTTGAATAGGGATGATTGGTAGTAATTGTGTACTGTCGAAGTGGTTCAGTAAGCTAATTCATTGTCGGATAGGATCATTTTACTGGTTAGAAAATCCTGACTGGTCGGACTCCTTGCCGCTGTCTTCGCCATTCTCCGCGCCACATCTCAGCCACAAGTCGGCGATATCCGATCAAATCATGATCGCCGCTCAAACTCCACAATCTTATTCTCCTCCACTTCGGTTGCTATTTTGCGCCATAAACGGGTAGCGCCGTGCAATATATTGGACGGTAATCGCGCAGGCTGTCCTGGCTATACATAGTGCTATATAGCAATTCATCATTTACTGATGCATGCTCTGATTATCTCCTCAGAAGTTCTGTGGTGGAACACAGATTCCCATCCCTAAGTACCACACTATAAGGGCTCGGACTCCCATGGTTCAATAGGTTGGCTTCGCTGAGGCGTGCACTTGCCCTTGTCACAATGGAGGTGTCTGCTGGCCCTCTTTCCGAGCCGAGCTGGATTGCAATACATCGTGAAAACGCTCCCTCTTACACTAGGTGCGCTATGCTGTGGATTCCTTTCTGCTATTGTTCACTATGCTGCTAGGCCTCTTGCCGGGTCTGAGATACTTATGTACGCTCTTCACGATCGTGACGACGGGTATGCATACTGAGGGTTTACAGCCTGTTACTTGTGTTGACGGATATGTCCAGGATGGGAGACGTCTGTTTTGGTACAACGTTCAGCACCAATCTGGAACCAGACACATTAGGTCAACGAATACGGAGTGCATTATGCTATTTGCGGTAAGTACCCATGTTAAGAGACTAGGATTCGCTCACGCGATTACCGTGGTGTAGGTTCGTAGCCCCTTTGCTAGGAGCCACCATAGAAAAGGATGGCTGCGACCCAGTACAGTATTGGTGGAAATATACTCCGGTGACCACTGTTCAGGATGTAGAACGATGGGCCGTGCATAGTCTCGAGATTTTGCATGACAAAATCGATCCTGATGTGTTTGTGACGGAAATAGTCTCGAAACGGCTGCCGTATATCCATCCTGACGGAGTACGACAACACTGGAGACTATACCTACTGACAAACTCACGGCAGGGCAAGTTTTCAGTTTTCATACACGGTGTCCATGCCATCTTTGACGGCAACTCGAATACCAATTTTCTCCGGATCCTTTTCGAAGAAGTCACTCTATGCGACGTCACGCATGGAGCTGATCGACTCTCGTGGGGAGAGGAATGGAGAAATCTGCCCCCAGGACCCGTCACCGCTACTGGTGGACATCTATTGAACTGGGAAAGCGAAGGGGTTCCCATGTTGCGGCGATGGCAGACCCTGCGGACGAACGACATCGTACGTCTTACCATGTGCAAGCATCGTGCGTGGTTAATGTTTCGTCTTTCAGCTTTCCCATTCCTTACAGCCTTCTCGTCAAGAGGTGCAGAATATTGGCGTGATTATGAGAATATGCGACGTACTAGATGCGGAAACGTCGTCATGTATCCTCAACGGCTTGAAGACGGTTGGACATACGATCACCCGACTGCTTGAGGCGGCGTTCATTCTCGCCATGTTTGAACTGAATCCAGTGCTCGGTGTTCCGGCCAAGGACGCACACGTAACGCTAGACCTGACCTTGTGAGTCATGCTCGAGCCTTCATACCACCTGCGCATATCATGCTTCATGCCCAGTATCGCTCTTACAAAATATCTCGTTCCTCCTTACAACCGGCCTTCGCACATCACCTCGACGTCCGTTGTCGTGCCTCTCATCGTCCCATTCTCGACTTTCGACACACAGGACGGTCCCCGTGCGAAGCTGTGCTGCATCATGGATCGTCTGCAAGAGGAGTATTCTCACTACCTGTCCAACCCGCATCTGCCACACCTTACCGCGAATATCTTCGCCTCGAAGCCACTCCGTGTTCCGCCTTCCGAGACATGGAAGAATCCAGCTGCATTGATGATTACCAATGTCGGGCTCATTGACGGAAGGCTTCCCTTACGGTACTCGTGCAGTGACTCGCATGCGGAATGTCATATTGACGTCGAAGATGTTGCATTCTCGAATCGTTGGTCCCACAGCGCTAGACCGTGAGGCACACGTGGAAGCTCACAATGCACGATGCTAATTTTGATCATTCTCAGGCTCGTGCATATGTGGACGATGCGCGGAAAAGTGCATTTTCAGGTGATCGTAAGTGAGCTTCGCGATGTCTTTATGACAATTGACTCACGGATGACTTGCAGGGTACGGACGTGTGGGACGAGACGTATATGCGCGAATACCTGCGACGAGCGGTCGATCTGGTCAACACCTTCGCCAACGACCGCTGATATAGAGATGAAATGCGATAAGAAAGCTATGGGAGCGTGTGAACGTCATGAAAGTTGAATCACGATTGTCGAGTGCGTTATATATGCAGACGCTGGCAATCCGTCGATTCAAAACACGATCACGTGCTCATCTACGAGATGGCGTGAAGTCGAAGAGGTACAGCACTCTGTAAAAACCGCTTGGTAGCTCAAGAAATACTTGATACACGTTCACTGATTTTAAGCGCAAATCTTCGAGACAAATGATTTATTCCGAGGGATTTGCGGCAGTACTCCGACTGACTTCCGACACAGCACGGTAGCATTCCCCCCAGTCGTCAACGTTATTCTCGGCAAGCGCCGCACCTGCCGGCAGCTACTAAAGTGTGATTTGTGAGGGCTCAATGCATGTGAGAACGTCTGCCTCCTTGAGCTCTGTTCCTGTAATTGAGGTATACAGTGCGTCTTGCTGCTTTCAAGAGACGAAGCGGCCGGTCTGCAGATCGAAGACCAATGTCCATGGTCCACGAGTATTGCGATTGGACCGTATGTACAAGACGCACATGCATACCGAGCGCTGAACGAGTAAAATACAGGGTTCATCTATTACATGCGCTCCACACGAATCTAGTAGACAGTAAGGAAGTACGATTATCGTGTCGGGGTACATCACAAACTGAACATGATCAATAATACACATGCGCGATCGCACATTCCAAGACACTTTGCAACTCAGAGACTGTATGCTCTACACTATACAATAAGCCCAATACCCGTAGATTGATATGAAGCAAGTCCATCGAAACCAACTAAGAAGACTCTGAAGAGCAGGCCCCAGGTGGCTGCTTCCCACGCCGGATAGAACCGACCATCTCCATTACACCGTTCCACGGGTGGTTCAGTATTGGATCTCCCATCTTGTCAACGAACGTTCTCGAGCTGCACACGACATCAAGTTTGGGCAGCAGATGACTGAGCTCTTTCGCTAAACGGTGGGTATCGCCGAGCGTGTGGCGCTGCTGCTCAACCACGAGCGTCTGCAGGTCGTACGAAACGTCTGAGAAATCTGGGTAGAGGCTAGGGTCCATACCAGGCAGAAAGAGTTGAGAGAGCTTTGGACAGGACTGCAGAAGGCTCTGGAGACCTCGAACGGTGGGGAATGTGTCTCTGTGATCGGGGCCAAGTAAGGAGAGGATGCGGAGGTTGGGCCAGGCGATGCCGATCTCATAGAGGTCTTCGTCTGTGGTCGCAAATGGTCGGTGCGTAGTACATTGCCAATCCCATGAGAACGACTCGAGAAATTCGAGTCTGAACAGTGGCCGAATAACTGCAGTTGTCGAGGATGCGTGGTCGTTGTCGGACCACGCTGCGTCCGTGCCGGTCAGTTGCATATCGAACACACGCAGAGTGGATGAGAATTGGCGCAAGGCATGCCCGATACTGTAGAACGCTTCTGGCGGAGGCAGCTTGAGTCGCAACAGGTGGAACTCCTCCAGAGGACTCAAGGAAACCGCCAAGAGTAAAGGTACGACGTTTTCCCAGCTTCGGTGGATCGTGAGGCTGCGCAGATTTACGAACCCAGAGCCTTTTGGAACCAAGTCTGCCCTGAGAGTAGATGTGATGTTCAAGGAATCGAGGTCTGCCATCGTTGACAACGCTTCCAAAAGGCTGCCCTCACCGTCTGACACGCATGTCAACTGCGCTAAATCCACCGACCGCAGCGCCTTCATGTTAGAAATCGGCGTGAGCGAGAAGGAGTGTGCCAGACCCTCGAATTCGAATGTTTCGAGTGAAGGAAGGTAAGCACCCACGCTATCAAGAATCGCCTGCAGCCCGTAATCTCGCTTTGTGATTGGCCATTGTGTATGTGTATAAGGGACACATATGAGATCGTTGTAGACGAGACGAAGACGGCGAACTGAGAGCGACATGACTGCAAGAAGCCCGGCCTCGATTGAGGGTGATCTGTGCCATATGGCTGCGCGGAGATGAGGGAATAGCGGTTCGCAGTTGTTCTCTTGGGATAAGAGCATGAGAGACGACGCGTCGACACAATCGTCCTTTGGGCTGGTGATTGCGCGGACACGAGTAGCATACTGCTTGAAGCGGGACCACTCTGCGGGAGTCGGCTGGCCGCAGAGCGTCTTCCGAAGAATGTGAGTGTGATTTATCGAACCAATGCTAAACGTCATTTCACTCACCCAGACAGACGGCGCACGAATATCTTCTCCCTCAACAAGCATATGGGCTATGTGCATTGTGTTGTAGCCACCCATATCGCCCCGGACTTGTTTGAACGCAGCAAAGAGGCACAGTGACGGTACCATCGAGTCCATCTTCTCCCACAGCACATTGAGTGCTGCATTTGAGAAGCTCTTACACACTCGAGCAGACCGAGCTAATGCTCTCTGGTTGCTCCCTCACACAATCATCAGTTTCTTTCGGTGAATATGAATGAAAATGAAAATGGACACACTGTCAGGCTCGTCATCCTGCGGTGGAGAAAGGCATTGGAAAATGTGGAGGACGATGTCGTTCGTTTGCAGTGCCCTATGAGGCGCCATACGATGCGGCATTAGATACGAATCGCTACTAGGTCAAGCGACGATGCCACCGCATAGACAAGGCTCGACTGAGCCAACGTGACGCATCTATCCGCTGATAGGACGACGTATCTCACTATCTGAGGTACAGATCCCACCTCCAATGGGTGAATACGTCGCGTACTCGAAGTGGTTAGACTTACATGCAAAGTGCAGACATGGTGGTGTCGGTTGAAATGACTCTAGATCTGATGGATAGCCTTATGATGGCCCTTATCACAAAATTCAAAGTCGGCATCAACACGTGGCCGAGCTTATCGTCCAAAATGTTACATGGATTGAACTCAATATTGGGAACAAACCCAGGCTCCTAAAACCAGCCCCACAATCGCGTTCTTCGCTCCTACATCCGAGAGGCCAACTTAGTGTTATATACGAAAAGATAATCACGTGATTGATCCGAAAATGAGAGCACGTGAGGAGTCAGAATAGCCGAATAAGAGGAGGACGAACGCTATCACTGCATGCAGGAATCAATTTTCCTGCACAAAATATCAAATCATAATTATAGCACCTATTGAATCTTACTGATCTAGAAATTGAATGGAAATTGAAGAAAAATCGAAGGAAAATTGAAAGAGACAATGGAAAATGGATTACATAATCGATTTTCCTTCGATTTCACTTCCATATTAGGCGCCAGAGCACTGATTAGATAAATTAACTTTTCTTTCGATTTCTTTGATTTCTTGTACTAGAAAATTGAATACCGCATGCAGTGTATA